AACCCTTCCTCCATCCTTTTGTACTGAGTAGAACTTTCGCAAATCGAGAAATAAAAAATCCTTCCTCCAAATTCAATTTAGTGAACAATAATTGTATTCAAGAAAAATATATAAATTCTATGTGACAAAAGATAATCATAATTATTCAAGCAAACTATTATAAAATTGTTCACTTGAACATTTTACATTATTACAGTTTCAATTTGTATTATTTTTTTATCATTGAGCAGACAAAACAAAAGAAAGTTATTGTCGAGCGTTATCATCCTTGAAATTTTTGCCTATGTGGTCATTTTTGATAAGGAAACAATTCAGAAATGACAAACAGTTCTTGAATGTGATTGATTCAGAATTGATTTATGCACACAACCAGTGGTTGTAAATATTTGCATAGGACCCACATATAGAAGAGTTGAGAACACAATATTTTCAAACAAGAGAAATTGACTCTCCTTCGAAAGAGAGGCTTCAATATCTGGGACAGACTCTCCAAGACTTATTGGACGAATTGATATCCTAGGAAAGTTATTGAATTTTATTACAACCAAATTCCATCTGTACCGTTTGTAAGTTTACTTTTCCTCCTTCGTTCATATGACTTACCACTTTTTAGTGTGAATGAAAAAAAAAAAGAATTCTGTTACAACTGAAAATGATAGTAATTATTAGAAATTGGAGAAAAAATGAAGTGGCTAATGTAAACAACAACTTATGAATGTGCAAGATATATCTTCAATTCAATCTCTTAGTATCAAAATGGTTGTTACACTTTGTTCACTAACTTCTAACTTTGTTAACTAGTAACAGCTCCATCTCGTGAACAAAGCCCCAAGCAGAAAAGAAACATCCTATGTACCAATACCTTTATATATAGAATGTATATAGTCTATATACAAAGCCAATAGTCTAATTCTAACAGACTATATCGAGGATAGATACATTCAATTCATACAAATATTCATCTCTCCAACTACCTACACCGTAAGTTCTGGTAAATTCTGATAACATAATATCCAGCGTGGTATTAGCCGGGAAAGTAGTTTCCGGTGGGCATTTACCAGAACCTACGGTGTAGGTAGATGGGAGAGATGAATATTTCTAGATTTCATTCCGAAATATGTATTTATTTTTCAGTATATTTCCATTTTTATTTATTTAATTAGATACTAGCTGGCATTTGTTTTCTCGAGAAATAAATGAATGAGTTTGTTTTTTCAGCTAACGTGAGGCTGATCATTCTGGAATTTTTTGGCCAAAAACTAAGTATATAGTTGACATTCAGCTATATTCATTCATAAAAAAGTCAAATGGGGTAACTGTCAGTGTTAATATAACAAATACAGAAAACAGCCACAAACAGATAATGTATCTTACGTCTTTGCAAAACACAATAATACTGTAAACTATATTCAAAATCTTGCACAGTAATACTGTAAGCCAAAATCTTCCGCAGTGATTTCAAAATCTTCAATCGTATTTTCATTGAACTTAAAATGAATAAAAACACGTCAAATCATTAGGAAACAAAGGTTTTGACCTTCTACTTCATCTTCATACAAAAAAACGTGGGAATCTTCCAAAGAATGGAAGAAAGTACAAAATGGAAAAAGAAGCCCTCTCAAAACAACTAATTTCATATAAACATTGAATTATACGAAAGAAAAATACTTTTTAAACAACTTATTTCAAATGAACATTGGATTATACAAAAAACATTGAATCAGATATCATTCACAGGATTGCTACCCAATATAGTATATGAACGATATTCAATTTCACTTACATGGAACACTCATCCTCAATGGCTATAGGAATCTTGTTTAAATTGAAAGAGATTCATTTTCAAGGGAGATTAATTTTCGGAAAAGGAAGGTTTTTGCTTTCTACTTCATGCAAAAAAATATATAAAGATGGAGTAGTAGAAATCCCCTTTCAATTTGAAGTAAATCAGTAATATAGAAATGAATGAAATGTGTACATTGTAATTTTGTAGATACTATACTTATCTCAAAGAATTGAAGGAGTGAAACGCTGGAGAAAATAAAAAAATCTTGAATATTAAAAGTGAAAAAACCATTCGGACAACTGTTTTGGAGCCACAGGATTGTATGGAACTTTGAAGACTTTTCTCTCATTGGTCATGCTGGATCTCCTGGTATTCCCCACTTACATTTCCTTAGACAAAAATATATATAAGGGGTGGTTTTCTGGTGCAGTTACTACATTTTTCTTCAAGTGCTTCAATAATTCAATATGTGGAAGTTACTGGTGAAAATCTTGATCCTCTTTCTCCTTGTTAAAAGGTGAGGTCCTTTATTCATATTTCAACATAATTTATTATCAGTGTTCGATTGAAATGATTTAAAATCAATATATTCTGAGAAAATTCAATAAAATCGGCAACGTTTGTGAAAAAACAAATCTCAAAAGTGATCTGAAAATGCTTCAAAGTAATATAATTCATTTATATAACAGGTTCCTCAAGTAATTTGGAAGGTACCTCTTTTTCAATGATTCTCAGAAGGAAGTTTCCCACGAACAGGGATTGAAATGTATTTATAAATGGTGTTTGAATCAAATAAATGAAAATAATTTTGACATCCATGCAAGAGGACTTCCAAGTATTGTGCAAGCCAAGTTCCAAATATATCTGAATATGATTTTTTTTATTAACTCACATGGAGAATTTTTTTTCGAAATTGTAACATATAATTTTATGCTTTTCCCAAAAGAACCCGACAATAATTATATTGTTATGATAGTTTTTTAAAAAAAATGCTCATCTAGAGTTGATAATATCATATGGCCCTATAAATTACAAAATTAAAAATAATACTAACTAAAAAACCATACATTACTAATTTTGTTCGACAAACATTTACCTACATTATTCATTGTGCAGATAGTAAGGATTCTTTTATAAACTTTTTAAATGCTCTCAAATTTGAGTCCCTGTACTGAATAGAGATAGAATTGAAATTTTTAATAGCAGTATAGGTAAAGCTCCTGTGGAAAGTATCTGTCGAATGATGTGGCATCGTGAGTAAGCCCTTGTCCCTTACATTAATAGAATGTGTATGAGATCTAGGAAGTAATCTCCTTCGAATAATATCATTTTCATTTCTCATTATTTTATAAACATACATGGATAGATGAAGTCGTCTAAGATTTTCCATATTGAGCCATTCTAACTCTCTTAATTTTTGAGATACGTAGTCATACCGACGTAATCCGTAAATGAATCGTACGCAAAAATTCTGAACCTTTTGAATCTTATATTTAAATTCATTATCAAGACAAGGACTATACAAAAAATCACAATAGGTAAACTGTGAGAGGACAAGGGTTTCACACAGAGTCTTGCGCAAATTCACATTAAGGATAAACCAGTTGCTGTAAAGAGTTTTCAGTGAAGTGAAAGTTTTTTTAAAAATGCTGTTTACATGAGATTTGAAACCCAAGCTTTTCGCTTGGTGAACTTAGCTTGTGAACTTAGTACATCAGTACAATTTCTAGACGTAGACTTGCCACAAATTTGTGTTCTTTATATAATCTATCCATCTATCAACGTATTCAACTTGTATTGATAACTCAAATACGGAAATATATAGTTTTGAAAATATTACTCTGTTATTCTATAGCGTCAGTGTCCATCCAACTGAGCCAGATTCTTCTCGCGAGGTCGAAAAGTCAGTTTTGATCATGAGCAGCACCTACACCCTGGAAAACAACACCCTAGACAGAGTTTTCTATGAATTAGTCAAAAATGCTACTGGTTTGAATTTAAATATCAGCGTTGTGAAGAAGAACTTGAAGGAGCCGCTTTACATCAAACTGTCGCCGAAGAAAGAGGCGGAGGATGAATCCAATTTCGTCGGATGTGGCATTAGGATTGTTGACATGAAAAAGGTTAGTTTTCCTATCTATGAATACAGGGTGATACTTGATGTCCTATAATGAAACGTTCAAAGAAGTGGACAAAAAGTAATTGATTTAAATGTCTTCCTTCACTTGAACGAAACACACATTTCAAATGGTTCTTCAATTCTGAAGTTAATTTATGTAGACCGTTCTATATCAATTATATGAACTATTTGAGATATTTATATTTTTAAAATTGTGGATAAAATCTGTTCAAATTTGTTTTTCATTAACCAGCTGTCCTCTTCCTATGAGCGACAATCCTCAGCAGTCGAAATTTGCGTGAGATTAATGAGGGATACCGGGGTGTTACCTTTTAACGTGCGATTCTCAGCCTCATTGACGGGGGAGCGGAGAGTCAAGTTATTTAGTCACTGTATTGTATAAATGTCTGCCATCCAAAATACGTGGATCGTAATCTTATATATGTATATTTTTTCGCCGTGATCGTACAAGTGCATTTGAAAAAGTGTGGGTATTTGAGGTCTCTTCGAGTGAGGCATCCTGAATGCCACAGGAATTGCTCTAGATAGCAGAATCATATTCAAATAAGCATATAAGGAAGCACTTTTTCAATACAGAAATCTCAGAATTATAAAAAAAAAATTAAATGTGTTCATAGAAAAATTTAAATTCACCATATTTCTTGAACAGACAGCTATTTCAAACTAGCCATCATCCATGTATTCACAATATGGAAGGCTAATACCAGTAACTATAACGTTTTTCAATTTAATTTTTTTCAGCGTCGTTTGATATCTGCTGAAGTACTACTTTTCCTATGCGGAATATTTCTCTTGCAAACAATCCACATGGCCGTTTTTGATTTGGTTATTCGCCTAGCCACAACACGTTTCAAGGAGCACAAGCGGTTCAGATTCTACACCAATTTGATAACCTGGCTGATATTCCTCATTTCAACTCTTAATTTGTTGGCTGTTGTATTATTATTCAAAGACTTTGAGGTATATATGTGGGAATGAGAAAACACTACATTTCTTAATTAATAAGTGAAGTAGAATACGTTTATTGTTTTTGTGAGAGATTAAATAAGAGGTGGATGATGGTGTTGATGGTCTTCAGAAAAATAATGGTGTTAAGGTGTATAATTGTAAATCTCAAGAAGGAAATAATTTATTATTTTTATTTCGAAATGTTTAATGGGGAATGTTTCTCCTGACGAAAATAAAGTAGTTTTCGTAAAAGAGCTCTAAAACAAACAACGCATTTTAAACTTATCATTTCAACCTTTTTCTTCAAAAAATTATTTAAATACTTAAAAAGAGGAATGAAATAATGCATTCAACATTTAAAGGGATTCGTTTCTATTTCACCATTTGGCAACATCGGTTATAGCTAATAAAGGACAATGAATCTGTTACCTGTATGAGACAAACAAAGATGACATATTTCAGAGGCGTGCTGTTCTGTTTACTTATGTTCCGAGTTCCAAGATATTCTGTGACATATGACCTAATCTATCTTCCTCTATATCAATAAATAACAAAACAACTGTTGTTTAAGTGGCTTGTGGAGGTGGTATTGAACTATAATTTATATTTTGCCTTAATTGTTGATTTATAAAGATAATTTTCCTTTTTTAAAGTAGAATATCTAGGTACGTATAAATTATTTCAACTTGATATAGGCGATGTTGCCAATATGTGAATTAGAAACAAATCCCTTCAAAAATTAAAACCCAACATTTGAAACATCAATTTGAATACTTTTCAAAGTGAATTTGAAAAACTCATGAAATTAAACTCAATTTTATTTTGTTCAAACTTACATTTGCTGTAATAAACCAAATTGAGGAACATTCCCCAAAGATATACATACTTCAATCTTCCTTTGACTCCTGAGGCTTTTGATAACCCTAGACCTCAATAAATATCTAATAGTAATTTTTTTCCATGTCGCTACTAAAGAGGGGTCCTATTAAAAACATCCGAGTTGACCTAGAAAAAGGGGTTCAGAGTCAAATCCAATTGAACCATTAGATTTTCAGTTGTGTTGGTTCGTTTTACCACTAGTATCTTCAAGATTTCTAGCGGTTTCCATATTCGTGCTCACTTTGTATATTTCCACTGTTGCATGTCGCATTATGATGTCTCTATTACAAATCGTGAATTATATAATCCGTTTCACTATCTTTATTGCCTCAAAGAATCTTCTGTTCAGTTGAAACAATAACAGATTATTACTCACTTCGATAAAGCATAATAGGGTGTTAATCTTATCAATATTCATGTTTTTCGTCGACACACGTTTGAATACCATGAAATTAATCACAAGAATGTGCAGGTGTAGCTTTTTCGGAATGCTCAAAATAAACAGTTTTGAAGTTTTGATAGAAATAATCATGGGGAGTGGGTTTGCTTTTGGATCTGTTTTCTAATTATACCTGCTGAAATAATAATTTGATTCGTATGAAGGTGTTATCTATATATAGATAACATCAACAATTATTTAAATCTCACATGATTCAAGATAGTATTCAAATAAAGAAAAAAATTATGATGTTTCATCAAGTTGTATGTTTTAGTTTAATAGTAATTATGCCCATGGAGAGTTCTTTTATAGAAATTCGAGTGAAGAAAGAAACTACCTAGTTTATGACAGGGTTAATATAGAACAAAATAGAAGAACAAAAAATTCACAAAACCACGCGAAAGAAGATTTCAAATAACATGAAAATGTTACATGTTAATATATGCAGTTTCAACCTAGAAATGAACTTATACTCTAGTAATCTTTGTTTATGAAAAAACCAAATAGATAGCTACAAAATAATCATGAAAGAGCTGAAAAAGCATCATCCTCCTAGGTTTGATTTTTTCAATTGATTTATGGTTTCAAAAAAATTCTTCAATTCTGAATTCGTTTAGGTTTTCAACTGAATTTTTACATTGGGATACTTTTGTTTTTATTTCCTAGACCGGAAAAGAACTGTCACGCTCAAAAAATTATTTACTTTGTTCAAACACAGTTATAAGCTCAGTGACAAGTCATATGAACATATATCTTGCCGATTTGTAATATTTTTTCAGTCTTCAAATGATTTCCAAATACCCCATTCACTCTAATTTATGTTACAGCCACGAGTATCTATAATATTATTTTTGAGTTGTGATTTGTAGAATATTCAATATCATTCACATCTTTGCTATTTTATCTGATAGCAGTTCCAAAAACACCTTGGGTATGCTCATGGACAATTGATCTAAAATTGAAAAAGGGTCTTGAATGAATTTCTGGGAACCAGTGTTATGAGTATCTAATATTTTACAAAGACCCGACTGATTATTGATCTCAACTAAACCAAAGAGCCCAAGATAAATTATCCTGCAAATCATTCAAGTTGATGGTAACTCAGCAAAAACCTTCAAATTTTTTCAAAATAATTGTATGTAATGTTCTTACAAACTTCATTATCAATAACCACAAAAAGTTTTACCTACAGTCCGAAATAACCTTAAACAGCTGTAAAATTTTTCATAAGTGTTTATTTAGTACTAATGAAGAATTAAGGACACTCTGACCCATTATTTGATGAAAATTAATCACTATCCATGATGATAATCCAACAATTTTCACACTATATTTGAGATATGTTTCGCCACATGGTGCCTTCATCAGCTTCACGGTAGCTTCATCAAATAACAAAAGAATTTGCACATTTCAGACGAAGGTACCCACTTTTATTAAGAAAAATGTCATTTTTTTAAACAAATTGTTTATGGTCTCATCCCTCTAATGTTTATATCATCTCGTCTTTGTACCTAGTATTTAGTTAGTTTTAAGTGGCGTTGAGGTTTTTCCAACTCTTCTCAAAGTTTGTCTCATTGGAATGTTTGCATTAAAAATGTGTTTCATTTATCACGTTTTATTTCAGCAATTAACTGTGTTACACAAGCAATGTTTTTATATGTAATAAAAACGATATTATTACTCTGTTATGAACACGTTTCTATTTTGACACAAATTACTCCAAAAACATTAAAAACTAATTTATATGAAAAATCAAAAGAAATTTCTCTGGATGTATTAGCTGAAATGTTCATTGAATTTTCTGGCATTTGAATGATTTTACATGATAGTTATATTGATTTCATTGTAATCAATGTTATTATATTTATATTTAGTTGTTAGCATTGCTTCGGTTTTTCCTATATTTAATTTCACTTCATCAAATTGTACATAATTACTAACATCTTTGAGGACAAAATTCATCTTTAGCATAGTAGTTTTTGAATTTTCATCATAACCAGCATCTGCAGAAAGGTTTATGAAAAGACCTGTATCGTTCAAATACATAATAAACAGAAGTAGCTGGAGGAAACTATCTTGTTGCACACCAATATCTATATCAATTGCATATGGGAGAAAATTGTTGATTTTCACTTTTTGTTTCCTATTGAATGAATAAATCATAATCCAATTTGGAACATTACCAGTAATGCAATCACCTTTTAGTTTGGTTAAGAGAATATTTCGCTTCGAAAGCAGTATTATCTTGAAGTTATGCGCCGCTTGCAAGAAGCAATAAGAAGAAAACGTCCGGCAATGTGGAAAAACAATTCGTGACTTTTGCAACAACAAACAACATTGTTAATGCCTCAGCCACCTCACTCGCTAGATTTGGCTCCCTGCGACACTTTCCTGTTCCCGAAATTGAAGAGACTCACAAAAGGACGGCGTTTTGCGACGATTGAGTAGATAAAAACCAAGTAGTTGAGGGAGTTCAAGGACATACCAAAAAGTGCATATCAGAACTGCTTTGAGGATTGAAAACAACGCTGGCACAATTGTATTATAACCGAGAGGGACTTCTTTGAAGGGGACAAAGTAGAAATTCATTAATAAATGATTTTTTTTGGGAAAAATGAAAATTCACCACATTTTTTGAACAGAGTAATTTATTTAATGCACATTACAAATTTTGAATCCTACAATTAATAACCGAATGGCACTATATGCAATGATTTTGTTGATATCTGATACAGAGAATTGGAAAATATCAAAGAATGGGAACTTTAGGAAGTATCAAATGAAATGGTTTGAAAAATATGTAGATCACATTTAGATACTCTTTATGGGTTCAAACAGTAACAACTATTTTCATTATGAATAATATGGAAATCACTTACTTTTTTAATTTGCATGTCAAATATAATGGAAAATGAAAAAAATATCAATCATGATGAATATCATACAAAGTAAAGAAATAAATTTCAAATGAAATTTCACTTACAACCTCCAATTCTCATGAGAAATTTGATTTTTTATTAAAATTTTTCAAACTATAATGTAAAAAAACAGAGCAATGTTCAATTTTAGGAAAGTATTCAAGAAATTGAAAGGAAGGTTCATAACAGTGTTGATAAGGAGTTTAAAATAAGTAAAGGATAGTAACTTTTGATTTGAACAATAAGAATTAAATTCATCTACCTTCTCCCAATAAATTGACTTCTTATATTTCTTTTAATAATTTCGAAAATAAGTGAACATCTTTGTTTTCAAATTATATACTCAATAAAGACTACAAAGATATCACTCGAAATTGCTTGGCTTTCTATTATGTAATGTTTCATCCCCAAAATAACAGTGATAGCCAAACAATTTCCCAAATTCTTTACAACAAATTTTATTTCAAAGTCAGGTTTTGCACAAAAAACTTTAAATTGTCTTGGGAATGAAATGTTCACAGAAACTTTGATTCTCCTGAAGAAAACCTGTTGTCTAATAGTTGTGCTTTTTTCATCACGGCCTTTTTTTGGGCTTCATCAAAACGATTCACCTGAAGGTCTGTCTCCCTACTAAATGGGCGTCTTTCCAGTGGAGCAGTATCGTCCTAAAATTGACATGAAGATATGTATCAATCAATATTGTAGTGCATTAAATACTTTACAAAAAAGAATGTATGTATTCAAGGTGGAGTTGAACTCTTGCAGAAACTATTTTAGCAATGATTTTGGTTCCTTGGGCCCAAAATTTCTTAATTTTGGAGATGCAGAATGTCAGAATGAATAAGTAAGTACATTTTTATAGGTATCTAAAAAACTACTGAAAATGAACACTTCATTACGCATCATAATGCTATTGATTTCATTGATATAGATGTCGGCAATACAAAGTCAGCGGTACATTTATTGGAGTCAGAAAACGTAAAATTTCATAAATATCAATTAGGGATCAACCCTTCCTAAAAAATATTGTGCTGGTTATTTTGATAATTTATTCAGTTTTTCCTTCAAATGAATACAAATGAACTGAGCAGATGTTCTATCATACATGAACCACTCGTAGAGAATATCTTCCAAACTACATACTCAAGGATTTCTAAGAAAATTTCTGATAATATCCCCCGACAAGTTTTCCTCATCTGTGAACAGAATTTCTGATGCAAAGTTGGGATTGCTGACAATTTGTTAAATAAACCACTGACAAACTGCCAATCGTTGAGGAAAATCTCTGGGCAACACTGTCTGTACTCATTGAATGTGGAGTGAGTAAAGTAAAGCATTTACAATATATATTTTGAAAATTTGTATTTATCATGAACGGTGTTATCAATTTTCCCCACTACAGCAAGCAATGATGACAGTTTTCTCAAGTTATTTGAAAGTAGTTGAAATTGTATTACCTTAGTTGATTTTAATTTTTTCTTGTGCATATCCACCAAACTTTCTTTGTTTCGTTTACTCTTCTTTGCTAAAGCTTCCTGTTCCTTGTCTCTTTTCTTCATCTCCATCAATTCCATTTCTCTCTGGAGGTTGACTTTGGGTTCTTCTTTACCTTGCTTCTTTCTCTCCTTATCTTTTGGTGTGTCTGTCCAAGTGGATCTAATTGAAGCAAAACATCATCAACCTGTCAACTTTATACTTATTGATTCCACATTACTTGGATCATGTTTCGAGTCATGTTCTATGACAATTTGTTAGAATATTTACAACTAGAGCAAAGGATTATACAAAAAAAGCCGAAATTGATTTTTTTTTCACCCTGTTTCGAACAACGATGCCAAATAGTCGTCTTAGTTACATCATGCGTAACTCAAGAACAGCTGGACCAATTTTTATGATTTTTGTGTTTTTGAAGTTGTCTCCATCGGGAATAGGATAATAAGTATTGAAATATGATATTTTATCAATAAAAATAATAATAATAAAAGATGCAAAACATCAGTGAAAATATCTATTAGTTCGATAAGATTCTAAAAGATGGCGGTATGCGCTGACTGAATTGAGTAAGTTTCCAATAGATGGCACTATGTTAAAAGTACAAACGAGAACAGTGCGACGAACATCAAGAGCGGCACGTGAACAAAACAAGTACAAGAACGACAGAGACAGCAGACCAGCCGCTCATTAACACGTGCATTATTTGTTCGTCTTGCTTTCGAATATGCACCAAATATTAATTACTGTGCGCGTTCAAAAATTGCTATCGGTTTAATGGATAAGGTATGTCAAGCATTGAAATTTCAGAATGGAACACCCGAATCAGGAAAAGGTATACTGTCACCTCTACCCTCTCTGCCGCACTCTTCACGCAAAAGATGACGTTATTTGAGGCAACTAAAATTTGAGGTCTCGCATTCGATGGACGTAATTTTTAAACTACATCATTTCTGTCAAATCACCGTCGAATCTATTATGAAAAAAATTTTAAATTCACATTTGCAAATGTTCAAATCCCAGTCTCGTGGATTTTCATAGCGGCTAAACGCTTCTGTCTTTATTTGTAAATAATAATTCATCTGTATTGACTAGTTTAGAACAATATAATATAACATATACCCTCGCCACAGCAACACATGGCAAGAAATAGAAAATTAATGAGACTGACTAACTGATGACTGGAACATACATCAGAGCACAGCCCCTCTAGTTTCGTTACTTTAGAAAATGGCTAAATGAATATCATCCATACTAGTGGATTGGTAGAAGAGGAACAATATTGATTCGACCTAAGTAAGTAACTCCTAAGAATATTTATATGGGGGAATTTGATGTTTGTAGTCTGGGAAGGTATTAACACTACCTTATTTTATAAAAAAAAATATGATTTCAGTTAGAGGAAGAGGCTATCATTACTAGTTTGCGAAACATATCTGATAATCAGGCAAAAGAGAATTTTGAAAAATTCGGGATTTGAGTCAAGAACTATAGAAAGCCTCAAATCCCGAGGGGTAAAAAGTTCCTCACCTATCTGAGAAATCTGGGCCAGCTTTGGTCCTGAACTGCCTGGGTCCTAGTCCAAGGTTAACAGCTTTCACTGCGGGCAACTCCAACATCCATTCTTCCCTTCCAGGTTGTTTCAGTTGCTGTGGATCCAACTGAGCTATCTTCATTTCCAAAGCCCTTTCTTCCAGTTCCACGTGAGACCTCGAAAAGCTGGCCCCCATTGGTACAGGACCATACACTTCTTCCTCTTCTTCATCTTTCTCTTGGCACTCAGAGTCTTGGCTAAGCTTTTCCCTCAAATGTGAAGGTAGAGCAGGACCAATATACTTCTCTGGATTCTGTTCCTGCATAGTTGGCAAACTAGGCCCGCAAAGTAGTTCTTGATTCTCTAAATTCTTTTGTAGATGTGGAGGCAGGGCGGGTCCAATAACTTTAATCTCTTTATTCGACTCTATAGAATTTTGTTCAATGGCTTCATTCTCCATATGAGTTGGCGAGTTAGGTAGCATAGGTCCAATGATTTTATTACCAGATTTAGTATCATTATCCGTGTTACCACTTGGTTTGGCAGCTGGTAAAGTTGGCCCATATAAATCATCTTTCATACAATCAACTGCTAATCTAGATTCTTGTGTTGGTAGATCTGAATGATCATCAGATGCATTTGATGGTTCTGAATGTATAAGACTAATTACAGATTTCTTTGTTTCCTCAGAGGGTGAGTCTAGTACGTTTTGGGTAAAAGAGTAAGAATCTTTGTTTTCAATCATTTTCTGTGAATTTTCTCCAAGTTTCTTCTGTAAATGAGGTGGCAATGCTGGTCCCATGTATTTAACTTCATTCGGGTGCTTTTGAGTTTGAACAGATGCCGGAGACTGTTGTAAACTCTGAACATCAGTAACTGGACTACCATCCTCATTTGTTCTTTTACAATCTCTTTCCAGTTTATCTTTTTCCTGGTGCTTTCTTCTATCCCTATCTCTATCACGATGTGAGCTATGTGTTTTACGTTTCTCGCGATGCTTGTCTTTGTGGAGAGACTTTCTCTCTCTTCTTGGACTTCTATTATCACGACTACTATCTCTTTTAGAACCCGTTTCACTATTTTTACTTTTGTTACGAATACTGTCTGTTTTATAACGAATACCCCTATCAGAGTCAGCGGAGTCAGAGTCCGATATTTGGTACATGCCGGAGTGTCTGCAAAAAAGCAATATATTAAACGTTTATTGCACGAACATCTTTTTAATTTTTTTACTACTATATTTCACACTTTTGAAAAGTCCAGCAGTGAGGATGCCTTTGAGGCTTTGACTCACTGAAGATTTCCACACAATGTCACTAACACACTCTTTCACAATTTGCCCACAATCTGGATCATAAGCTATTGCCCTGAGCACATCTTCTGTGTCCTGTCGCAAAGTGCCCCTATTCCAAAATCTTGTGAGTGACATTTGAGGCCATCGCGGTAGTTGATTCAAGTGATAGAGCCTAGCTAAGGGACTGATATCTTGTGAGCAAAATACGGGAGACTCATTTACATCATGAGTTTTACTTATGTGGAAGTTTCCTTCTTCTTTGAGGTCTATGACTGCAGGTACAGGAAAGTCTACATAGTCCGGCAGAGCCGATATAAAAGTTCTATACAAGCTACGAAACCCTAGCAACTGTGGTTTCACTATATTACTTACTTTGTTTTTGTTTTCACCAAAAGTCATGCGGAAGTCTCCACTGTAACTGAGGTTTGATATGGTATGGTAGAATTCATATTCGGTAAAGGATTCTGGAAGAATGAGTAATGCAGCATGCACTGCTGACTGGAGGTTGAGCTGCAGAGCAGTTTCCAGTTCTGAACTTAAGGGTTTCTTTATTATTTCCACTGGCTTGTGCAATCTACCAGCAATATAGAGATCGGACCACTCTAATAAGTCTGTAACCAAATCGTTGGTACTAACAACCCCGTATTTGATATAAAAATCGTCGAAAGGAATAAGGGTGTTGAAGTACACTTTGGCACCAAAATTCTCCTGATATCTGGCCACAAAATTATGCCCGAAATGTTTGAGCCCACTGTAATGTGAGGAATTGGTCCTTAAATTAGCTTCATGCCAGGACTGTGGGTTGTTGACGCAAAATATCAAGTCGATCATATTCTCTGAAGGTTTGTTCTGAAGCTGTTTTTTCACACCTGAACCATAGGCGAAACAGAACGTGAAGTTTTGTGGAAATCGGGATAGAATTCGCTTGTATAACGGGGGAACGATTGTGACTTTGGTAGACATTGTTGTAAAATAATAATAACATTATATAATGTATTTCTAGTTATGAACATGCATGGAATTTTTTTAAAACCTTAACCTACTAACCTAAATTGATTACCTGTCAACCAATTTGTTTACATTGCTATTGACGTTTGATTCTCCTTCTGTCAATGTCAGTGTGAATTATCATTCGATTCAGCGTTGCCATATTGATGTTGCCTTCTATTGTTGCTTTCGAGTTGACTCTCGATAAAACAGACAGTACTTTTTAATATTATTGACATGTTAGTCTACACATAAAGGTTCCATCAACCTTATAATTACATCTTGCGGGGCTTTTAACACATTATTGCCAAAATACTCATGGAAAAAATTAAGGTGCAAAAATGTTCATGTCAATGACCCTGTAGTCTTTTTGACTCATTCGAGAAGAATTGCCGTTAGACAGCGGTGGAAAACCCCAGGAAAAAAACACAATTCTTTCTTTGAAAGATGTATTACACCAATAGTTGAAGGCGAAGCAGTTTGCTAGTCTCGGATCTTGAGAAAACTATGCATGAATATTCAAATTGACTCTTCCCTGACAAGTTATACGCTTTCTCTGCTCGTTCAAAATACATGGAAGACATACCAAATAACTTGCGACATCTGTGAAGTACACAATCATTCGCGACATCTGTGAAGGAATAGTAGACCTTCATTTTGAATTCAATATTCTTTTTGTTGTTTGTCACGTTGTTTGGGAAGCTAGCCAAAAGAAGGAATATAATAACTGGTCAATAGTTCATACACTGATTTTTTTTTTAACTAAGATGAAGTGAAAGTGAGGTTTGGTCTATGAATTAACCAAGCAGTTCCAACGATGAATAAGAATTCAATTATTAAAGGTATCGATTACATGAAAAAAGTAATATACATGAAGAAAAGAATAAAATGGATGTCCATTAATGAAAAATTATATATTTCTACAAGACTTCATTATATTTTTTGGGGTATAAAAAACGAGAAAGTAATAAAAATGAGAACACATTATAAAAATAAAATATATTTTCGAAATAAATATTTTTTTGAATAGTACGCTTATTATTTTTTCTTGAAATCACCCCTCATTAACATGTAGCACAATGACAACATGATGAAGATTCCTAACAGCGTATACTGGAAGGTGAGTATCCAAAAAGCTAGTAAATATGCCGTTCTGTTACAGTATTCGCCAATTTTAGGATCGTAATTCGGTTGGTATTCCTTATAAACGACGTACGTCCCTAAAAAAAATCAGGTGTAACTTGAATTTCTTTATTGATGTCTTGACAATGTTTCTTGTCGATTCATGAAAGTTAACATCATTGCTTGATTTTTTGATGCGGTTTCCTTAAACTTTCTTTTCGTGAAGTTAATAATTCGGGAAATATTCAACATAGGTACTAAGAAAATTTGATAGAAGAGAACATTTTAAACCCCTCACTTTAAAGGGGGAAGCTGCGTGTTAATTCAGTCATGAAATTGTTTTTGAGAAAGATATATTAATTCGGACACAATATTATCATCTGTATCTCACCTAATCCATGCCATCCGATGTCAAAAACTACAAGCACTATGGCTGAATTGAACAGATATCTGTTTGATCTGTCACTCAAAAATTTGGCCAAGGCTCCGACGAAACCTGAAAAACCAATTAAAATGACTAATTTTGATCTTTAATGTATTCATTAACTGTATTAGGGGCGTCAAAAACTATTCTGAGAAATACGATAACATTATTTTGTCTTTATCAATAATGTCGTGATACTGGTAACGTTATTGACGGAAAATGGGAAAAGTAATTTTGTCGAACTATTTCTGTGATAAATTCCAGTCTTTCCCAAAATTATTTGAAAATATTACTGTCAACATGATAGCCAAGCATTTCTCTGGCAATAATATGTTTTGTCCTGTACACATCAAGGTTTCACAGGACATGAATCTTTCAAAATGATGTTGGATGCACTTGAATTTTGTTATTTTATGACCTCACCAAAACCGTCGACATAACTTCTTTAGATTTGGGTTGACGAGCCTTGAAATTTAGGTTCTACTAGAACCGTTAACTAGTAGCCTATTCAAATAACACCTCATTTTGAGATTATTAAGACGTTTCACTCGGTAGCTTAACTTGAAGAAGAAAAAACCCTGGTGCAACCTATGAGTCATGGAGTGGTTGTACTCCAAGGCTCAGCTCTGGGGCCACACGTTCTTCAATATATTCTAAGAAACAAGTAGACAGAGCAGATGAATATCAAGCACTTTCTTACTCAAGTAGTATTCTACAATTTATGATATCGTATCGTATGTAATAACTCCCGGCCCATATACTTACTGTACCTGCTACTATCAAATAAATTGGAATGAGTCTGTTGATAGAACAACTGTTAAGACTAACCCATCCTACGGTGAACATAAAGAAGAATACTGCATAAAGGAGGACCAAAGATGCATTGATGCCAGCTGAAACAACAAATCATTAAACAAAAATATCTAGCAACATTTAAAAGGGAAATTGTAGGGATAGTCTGGACTAGTTCGACTGGAAGAACCATGATCTTTTTCTGTGGACATTGAAGGTGTAGTAACTGCTGGATTAAGTATAGCTGTAGACTCTTTACTGATTTGTTGAACAAAATTTTCCATGCATTCCATTCTCCTATTACTATTTTCGAGATTTTCAATCAACTTATCACAACACATTTTTAGCTTGCTCACTTTTTCAATAACACACCTTCCTCTTGTGATTCCTTAGATTTTCCCAAATACTGATTTTGCAAAGAAGTTCTGTGAAATCAGTTTTGGGAATTTATCATTACAGGATACCTACTACTTAAAAATTTCAGCCTCCAGCATTCTTTTCATGTCAGGACAGTTTCACCAACCAGAATTGACATTAAAATATTCAAGTAGGTTGACTAACTGCTCTCGCGAAAGGTTTTGAAGTAACTTGACCATGGTTTTATCGAATGCATAAGAACTATTCACTTGTTGGGGTCAGCAATTGTAGTTTTTGAACTACTTTCGAAGACGTCTTTGATTGAAGTTTTTATTGATTCTTTACTTAACATTTACTAAACAAATCATCAAACAAAAAAAATCTCCTAGCCACACTTAGCACATTTCATTTGGAAGGAAATTGTAGGGCACTACAAAATCATTATGCATATTTGTCGATATGGTGGAGGCGTTTGAGAGGGTTGAAGTTAGAAAAATATGGATTTTTAGAGACATTTCTTATGAGCTAATGCAGATCTTCTATTTGAGCAGGCAACAGAGTGTTGGAAATAGGTGATACCAGCAAAGAGGAGATGAAAGTTGAATTTGTCCACATAGAAATATTCCTAGGCCAAGTCAATTTATACGTTATGCCTTATTTCGACAAAATACAGTAAGAAAAATACGTTTAGCTGACGACACTCCTCTGTGCAGCTAGTGTAAAGATCTCAAATCTGTAGAATAAGATTTCAAAAAATTTGGGCAATAATTTTTGAACATAGATTTTCGAAAAACATCACCCTTTCCATTCACAACCAACAGATTAGACTTTTACATTTACGGAGAATCAAAGTTAGGTTCAGAAAAATTTGACAGAATCCAACAAAAGGTATGTATGAACTACTATACAGAAAAAAATTGTTTTGATGGTTGTCACGAATATATATGAGGTAGCATATTTTTCTGGTAGATTTGTGAGAAATGGAAAAATCGCTTAGCTCTCAAGAAGCAAGAATACCCATCATAATAGACGGCCTCTAATGCCGTGTTCCTCCACTGCATTATTTCTATTATATGTACTTATAGAAATACGTTATCTGTGGATCTTCGTTAGATGTTATTAATGTAAGGTTTGCATTGGTTTGCGAAATTTCGTTCCGGAGATTTCAGACTCGAAGATGAGCACCGAATTGGTCGACCAGGATAAGGATTTGAGGATTTTAAGGATGGAGACTAACCCCTCAAGAACCTTGCGTTAGATGGCAGAAGAACTAGGCGTCAGCATCCATGCGGTTTTTGATGGTTTAAAATGTATTGGACAGGTCGAAGAGTTTGAAAAGTGGCTGCCCCATCATTTGAACGATCAACAGAAACTGTCACATTTTGAGGTCCATTCTTTTTTGCTTTCACGTAACCAAAACGAAGCTTTTTGGATTGGATCGTCACATGTGATGAAAAGTGGATCATCTACAACAGAAGATGTCCAGGACAGTAGATGACCAATGAGCTCCCCAGGCACTTCCCAAAGGCGAAAACCCACCAAAAGAGACCATAGTTCAAATTTCACCACTATCTGAGAGATTTGTGGTATCACTATATAGAAATGATCCTACCGAACTAAAAAGACTACATTTATGCAGTATTTTCATTACTAAGAATTCAGTTTATTCACTATACTGGGACTATCCCATTAGTAATTATTAATGCAGACCTACAGTTACCACTTTTAATATTGATCGTATCATATTTAAAGAAACCACAAGATGGAATTTTCCGAGATTATTCCACATCTATGTCACCAATGATTAGATAACCCTGGAAGGTTTTTTACTCAATTTTAGCTGGAAATAATAATAAAATGGAAATTCAATGACACTTTGATTACGAAAGACGTGTTTCTTGAATATTTCTATTTGAGCTGTCTATAATCGTAAATTTTCCAAATCAAGAGTTATAATTGCAAAAATTATATGGATTATGCATAATGCCTACTTTATGCACCAAACTTTCACTTTTACTTCAATAATGAGCAATGATAATTGTTAAATTAGGTCAAAAATTGTGGACAGGGTTTTCTCATATGAACAAACTTTTCTCCGACGGAATCTTCGAGACACCAGGCGCTCTCTCGGACTTTCCTCTCGTAGCTACTCATGGGAATCTTTATGGAACATGGAGTTACCAAAGAATCCAACCCTAGGTCTACAGAGAAGATGTGCGTCAAATAAACGACCCCAATTGTCCTCCTTGTATCATCAGATCAGAAGCAAGAGCTTCACAGTTCCCCAGCTCTTGATCCTAGATGGTTCAATTAGAAGATTTATCTATCGCCTTCTCGAAAGTATGATATATTATGAATTTGCCTTTTAACAAGTTCTTGAGCAGCTGGAGCGGAATCTGCGTCAGGATAGGACATAAACTCCCCTTGAGCAGGCCAGCAAATGCTCGTTGAGATTAACAAAAAACCAGAGGCAAAAAAGCCCTCGTTGGCTGATTCTGATATATCGTCAGGTAGAGTCGACGTGAAGTTTCCCTCATATGGGAATTTCATACCCTGAACACTCGACAAACTGAGTATCGACTCATCAACTGGAATATCTTCAATATTCCAATTAGGCTGTCGTAGAAGATATTCCATAAGAAGGTCCACAGGAATTATTCCAGAGCTGCATGGCTACACGTTACCTGGATAATCTGGAGAGCATATGCAGGTTGGTGGGTGTAGTTAGTACCCTGCTATCCACGAGAGGGCGCTTCCATGAGACGCTTCACGGGGGACTTTTCCCAAGCTACATATTTGTGTAGCTTATATACCTGACGAAGGTAGTCGCAAATTGATTGTAGATCAGGTTCTTACTAGATTGATAAAAATGTACCATGGTCTGTCAACCTTGGGTGGATTATTCTTCATAAGAAAATTTAGGACCTGATAGCATAACACACTATATGCCTGCTATTCTGTGGCTAAGATTAGGTTTTCAGGCTTCTGGCAGAGTCCTAATGAAGCCACAAGACCTGAATCACCCACCAAATAAAGTAATGGGCTTCGTTAAGAAGTTTAATTTATTTGGTCGAGTCCGCATGTATCTACCTTCTTTTACTTCAAGGAATCCTTGAAGGAAGACAGTATTTTAACAATTTACGGTAAAAATGATGAACTACATTTTTCTTTGGATCATTCTGAGAACTCTTACTTTCCACAAGTTGAATAAATGAAAATTGTAATAGGTGTGGAAATAGCAATCTTGGACTCCACCCCGATAAGTGTCTAAATTCAATGTAACTCTCACAAAGAAGAACTCGTTTGATTTGGAAAACGTCCTCTGTTAATGTCAAAGGAGTTTTCAAGTGTGAAATATGTCAATTCTGTTGATTGACTTTTGAAACCTTCGATGTAGAACAAGCAGGTGGCCTCTTTGATATTACTCATGTAAAAATTAGCTTTCTCTTCATGAGAAAAATTATAAAATACAAGTTATTGTTGAATAGTGCATTTGGTTTAGTGAAAAATACATTAAATATACACGGTAATTTTTTGTGGTGAATAGTCTGCTCTTTCTACACCTGTATTAAGTTCTCCACTACGATTTTCATTCTTTCAGATTATGGAAGATGAGCATTCCCAGAAAGATCCATATAACTTTTTGATTCCATCCACAAAAATGACTTATCTGAATGTGTATAAAATAAGATTAACTACATTATACTTACGTGGTGGTTTTTCCTTGGCCTTTTCCAACGGTTCATTATTTTCCTCCGACTCTAATATTTTTGTACTCGATCCCTTTTCAATATCGTCACTGGCTTCTGCTGTTCCACTTTTTCCATCTGCCATTATTTCTTGTCATTTGTTTTTAGGCTCAAAAACTTGACATGCGCCGCCGCTACTATTTCGAACAACAAGCAACAACCCGTGGTACAGAAATCTCTATTTATAATTTTTTGCCAGGATACACTGTTTCGTTTATTTTTAGTGTGTCGTATTTAACACGCCGATCGAAGTATTGGTGGAAATTAAAACCAACAATTAACTATTTTATTGCTTCTTTAACAAAACAAATAGAACAATGCGTTCGGATGGCAGGTCCGGTTTGAGAATCAATTGGGTTTCCCTTTTGTCTCAGTCACTCTGAATTCTACAGGTTGTACTGTTTTTCAGAAACAGCGCCTGAATATTTCAAATTTGACTGAATAAAAAAGTAGCTGACCAATAAAACAAACAAAACCAAAATTAAAGAATGATTTTTGAGATATTTGAAGTGGCCCAGTCTACTTTATTATTCAGTAAGACTAAATAAAAGTGTCATTCGTGATTTGTTTGGACCTGCCGCATACCTCATCAGTGGTACTCAGTTGTAACACGAATACAACATTTGATTTGAACCGTAATCTTGGTGACATTGAAACACAATATCAGTCAGACCGAATATCCCATATAAAAAATAAATGGGGAATTTTGTTGGAGTTGGAACAAGAATATTTAATGGGGTGTTATACGTTTTTGAAAAAAAGAGCTTTGCGGTTTTCTACATCTCCATTTTGGTAGGAAAGGATGGTTTACGATGCCAGTAGAAAAGTTAGCCAACTAAAAAAGGTAATAATGAAGTCGAGTGCATAGAAAAAGTACCTAAACTCTGTCCATCCAAGCAAAGGTATGCTCCAAAACATTATCATGCATAGTACACGTGATCGCCCAGACAAGGCTGCTTGTACAGTGTCGCACTAAGAAACTACCGATTTTTTTCAATAATATGCGGCTTGGTACAAGAACATTTGTTAAAGTTCAATTAATGAAGAGAACAAAAACAATTTTGTGTATTTAACACTAAATGAACTACAAAACAATGGCGTCATTTTATATCAGCAGGACGAACGGGTAAACAGGTTTTGATTTCAAAATGAAGGTTTAGCGTATAAATTAAAGAATAATAATATAATGATGAATTCTTTTTTCATTTCAAACCGATTACTTAGATGCTGAAGAACTGGTACTATGAAAATCAACATTTAGGTTAATTATCAACGGATTTCCGTCAACTGAATCATCCATTAGGTGGTCTTATCTTAACATTTTCATTTCTACAGCGGTAATAGACGAAACAGCTTTACTAAAAACATTTTTAAGATAACAAAATTTAAAACATAGTCTTTTATATCGGCTCACATGAGCTCTATTGGGTTGAGGTCCCAGTGGTAAGGGGAAGACGAGTGTAATACTTTTCTATTGTGTGTTTTAGCAATTGCGTCAATAATGTATTTATTATATTTGGTTTTTATTCATTCACTATCCTTAAAAGTTCTGCTTTTACTATATTATTGTCGAATGGTATCCTTTTCAAACGCATCCAGTCTTGAATTACAGCTTTTTGTGGCTGTAGTAGGGATTTTTTCAGCTTGTCTGGAATGTTATGGAGCGTTGGATCCAGGTAATAGATTTTTCTATTCTCTCTTCTGTAGGCTCTTATTTTCATTAAATAAAGTCGTCTCCACAATACTATTTCTAGTTTCTCGAACAACAAACCATTTATACCTCTTTTATCAAATTTAAAACTTAATTTTCTCAATAATTTGTGGAATGTCGACCTTTTGAAATTTGGTAGATCGGGATCATCGTTTGCAACTTTCAGAACTGAATCTATTGTTGGCATTCCATTTCGAATAAATAAAATAGATGTTCGTTCCTTCTAATGGCGTTTAAATCAAAATTGTCTACCCTATCAATATTTTTTTTGAGGATTATGGTTTTGGAGCCGAAGATAAATGCTTTGTTTATATTCTCTCATAACTCTGTAAACAATTGAAGGAGACACTCCAGCAATGTTTCCTACTATTTTCACGATTTCATCAACGAACAATAAAAGATTAACTTCAATTTGAATTTAGTAAATGTTCATAATTAAAATTTTAAACTTTCAAATACCGTATACACCACAGGCGTTAAAACTTAACTTAGCACTCCGATTATGTAACATTGAATTTCGCCAGCCGATTGCAGCTAAATCTGATTGGCCAGCGAAAGGAGGCCTGTTTATTTTACCCAATTGATGCAAAAGCCCCTGCCCTGTCCATAATGATTATGGGTACAATTAATATTCAATAACTGCAAATGATTGATTTGTTTTTGTGCGTTGTTATTATTTGTTAATTTTCTATACAAGACAAGTGAATTTATAGTTATTAAGGATTGACAAACCATTTTCATCAAAAATTGATGTTCTGTTTTTATTCTGTACCTTAACTACTTTAGGTCGTACAGGTGTAGCTCATAGAAACATTTTTTCTGATTAAAAAAATCAATATAAAAAATTCAGTGGAAATAAACAAAAATCCTGCGTTATTTGATTGAAAAATCAAGTTACACGATGAGCGAGAAGGCTCTTAGTTTCAAGAAATAACATTTATTTCTATTGAAAAACTTATTCAATGAATTTATTTTTCCACGTAATAAATGAAACTCAATTTCTCAGAAATTATTTATTTGGCATTTTGGAATATAGCTCAACAATAAAAAATTATGTGAGATAAGATGAATGGAAACAAACCCAAAACTAAAATTATAGAATAATCTGCTACAATACATGAACGTGATGTGAATAGATGATTATATTTTGTGACACTATTTTTGATTGATCATATTTGTGGTGTAACTGGAAGTATTTCATTATTCAACTATTCATAAAGCCAATAAAAAATAAACATTTTTTTCCTCAATAAGTCTATACAAAATATACTCTAAAGCTACTGAAAATCAGTGCATCGTTATAACCACAAATACAAAACGAATAAAAACATGTGTATTTACATAAAAAAAACAATCAAGCTGTTTCAGATTTCGCCTCGCGGTTTTCCTCTTTTCTCTCTTGTGATTCACCCCCAACAGTTACTTCTATATTGGCTTCCACATCAGGATCTGGTGCAGTTGCCAGGAGACAGATGCAGCACAAAAAGCACATGAAACCGCAGAATATGCACATGACGATTGCATAGAAAAAGGTAAGGTAGATGAAAGCAAACAAATATGCAGTTTTCTGGCAGTACGCTGCTCCATCTTTGGGGTCATAGCTGGGCGGGTAGACCTTGTACACCCAGTAGGAACCTGAAAATGTTGACTTTATTGAGTGATGTTCTTGATGCAGGCAAATAACAAGTCGAAGAGAATCGACATCAGTTTTTTGTGGACTTATGAATGATTTTTTTTATTAATCACAAGAAACATTATATGGGACATGGAACATACATTTCGAAAAAAAAACATACTGGGAATAATACATCGGATGAAAATAAACAAGAAAACAACTAAAAATATGTGAAACTACAAAACTGTCGATCTATTTCAAGATATATTCTTTCAGTTGCGTTTTGAATTTCGTATAATTTTTTTTATATTGTTAGGTATTTTATTATATGAATTAACTCCATCACGAAAAATACATTTTTGACCAAATTTACTTTTGTGTGGTTGTGAAACTATATTTTGTATTTACCGTGTATTATGATCGTGAATTGAATTGATTTCGTCAAAACGTATTATTTTGACATTAAAAATGAACATGCGTTTTGTGAAATGCTATATTCCCCTTACTATCGAATAATTTTCTAGGTTTATACAGAGTGCTGGTCCTTCCTCTCTTTCTGGTTCAGCTTATATATACAGAAAGTTCCAATTAAAACTTGATCCCCCCCAGTAAGTCAGAAACGGACATGTAATCGAAAATTTCAAAGAACACGTCAATTTTTATTTCTAGGAGGACTAATTCTGATATGGAAATCATTCCCGAAACTTCACCCCCCTGCGGTTAACAACTACCCACCCCCCTATTTTTTCAATGGCATGGAGGGCGAGTGATACACCATATGAAAGGTCTTTTGTCCCTCTATTACTTTTGTAATTTTTTTCGAAACTGGTGGGTCACTATCACTTCTTCACGAATTAATATTCACTCATCCTTATTCACTGTGTTGCAATATACTTCATTCTACTCAAGAAAAAATTGAAATTGTTGCAACCTCTTATCGAAATAATGAATGTGCTAAAGCTGCTGCAAGAATTTATAATACGAATCATCCAGACCCCAACGTGAGCCATCAATACGTTAAACAGTTAATGGATAAGTTTTGACCTTCAGGTTCTGTTCACAGAAAACATGAAGTATCCCGTCCTGTCAGAAATGACGGAGTTGATGTTACTATTACCAAAAATGAAGAAAACTCCAAAAAGAGTGACAGTAGATGTATCTTTAATGGAAGATAACTCAAATATATACAAAATGAATGAAGTTCGAACTGTAAGTGGACTCTCACTTCCAAGACAAACCATTGATGTCGAATACCTGAGTAGAATCTATCCATACATCAAAGAAGCACCTGTACTTTCCTTTTATGATGCACAACCAACAATTCTCATTAGTCAGGATCAATGTGCTTTGAGTATTGTAAGGAAACTATATCAAAGTTACTGGACTGCACCGTTTGTATCAAAAACATTACTGGGATGGGTAGTACATGGCAGATACCCCCAAGGAAAAGTTGCTGATAAATCGTCTTTAATATTTCACTTTTGTTGCAAATCTCAAGAACAAATTGATGAAGATATTCACGATCTAGTGACAGACTCGTTCAAAATTGTCAATTTTGTCATAAAAAACCCGGAAAAAAATGGAAGATCTAAAGAAGATGATAGGGCGTTGAAAAAAATGGAAAATACAATTGATCGAGTTGGAAATCACTTTGAAATAGGTCTACTGTGGAAGAATGATGATAATCGATCTTCTAGAGAGCTGGAGATGAAAAAGAAAAAGGAAAAGAAGAAACGTGACAGTAGTGAGGGGAAGGTAGCGAAAAAAAGGCATCAGAGCTCCGACTCTGAAGAAGAGAAAAGAATGAAGAAGAAGCGCAGGTCAGTCAGTTCAGAAAAAGAAGAAAAGTCAAAGAAGGATTCTAGTGACAGTGACGTTCCCACTGAGAAAAAGAAGAAACAAGATAGTTCTGATGAAACTGATAGAGAAAAATAAAAAAAACATAAGAAGGACAATAGCTCCTCGGATAGCGATAAAGATTTCAAAAAAGAAGAGGCACAAAAAAATCAAAGTTGGGAAGCGATTCCGATGATGAAGAGGATACAAAGAAAAGGAAAAAAGACAAGAAGCATAAGAAGAAGAAGAAACACTCGAAGAAACATGAAAAACACAAAAACAAAATCAGGAACCTATAAACGGCCAGTTACAAAGATCTGTAAATGGATCAACGGTACAGATTCTCAAAGGAAATGAATTGAAGAATAATATGTCAAATGCAATGATTTCATCACGAGGGGGAGAATGTTGTTGCTTTTAATTAATTTTGTTCACTCTGTTCGTTTAGTATGTTAAAGTAATGGATCATGGTTTGTTTATAAAAAAAAGACGATTTTGACATTGACAATAATTTTGAGAGGGATTGACTTGAAACGTTTGATTCCTAGTTTATTTCGACTTTAAATCAAAGAAAATCACGGTAGGACTGACTGGTCCAAACAGTTACAATTTTACGACATGTTCAAATGGATAATCGAAAATCTATCAGATAAGTAGCTACAGCGTCTGGTGTATCAGATACTAGTGTTTTTCGGATTTTGAAAGCCTATAAATTCCACCTTTTGAAAATAAGGCTAGTTCAGGAATTAAACGAAGATGATCCTGATCCTCGACATCAGTTTTGTGAGGTGTTCAGTGAGAAATTGACCAATAACCCAAACCTATTATACAATACATGTTTCATGTTGAATGGTGAAGTGAATAGACGTAATTGTCGTCACTGGAGCAATGTGAATCCCCATTTGGTTATGGAAACCCCTTCACAAACTCCAAAAAAATTGAATGTTTGGGCCGGCATTCTTGGTGATCATATTGTTGGACCATTATTCATTGAAGGTAATCTCAATGAAGACACATACTTAAATCTATAACAAGACTGTGTAGATCCTATGATTACACAAAGTTTGGAAAATGATGACAATTTAGTAGAAAATGAAATAACATTCCAGCAGGATGTTGCACCTCCACATTTTGATGTTGGGGTGAGACAGTTTTTTGATGAACGTTTTCCAATGCGTAGGATCGGCAGAAGGTGTCCAGTGGAGTGGCAAGCTAGATCACCTGATCTCACATCGATGGACTTCTTTCTGTGGGGACACCTGAAGTCGAAAGTTAACATTGAATTTGGAAAAATTGTCTGGAAAAAATCATTTCATAGGGAAACCGTTTCTTAAATGAAAAGGTTCCTGAAAAGTGAGTAAACTTCAAAGTGTATTGTATTGAATCTTGAAACTGTAAAAATACTTACCCAATATTAGGAATACAACTTCCACAGTATACAAAGCGGATTCTACGAAACCTGTTTTGACATGACGCATGATCTGTTCACGGGTAGTTGTTATCAATTTTGAAAGTAAACCAATGGCACCTGTAATAAAAAAATACAACTAATTGAAACATTTAATATCAGCAGAAACTATTCATTGAACTGAAAGTGATGCGGATCCGAATGAATGAATTCAATAAAATTTTATTGCAACTGGTTTTGCCGAAATATTATGATAATGCAGCGATATTATATTCTACCTGGAATTATATTCAACAGCAGTCGTCAAAAATTAATAAAAACTACTATAGATAAAGCTATTCTTGTTTAGAATGGGTGGACGAGAAAATTGCTATTGCAAGAATAACTGATATTGTTCCTCGACATATGAAGATTATCTATCATATCATCCAACAAAAATGAAATCGAAGATATGAAAATGAGGATTACCAATTTAATTTTGAAAAATTGCTGCTTCATTGAATTAAAACAAACCAGAATACATACATTGGAGAGATCATCACACAAAACAGTCACTAATGAAACAGACAATGCTGAGTTTCGATGTCCTGCATATGCCAAAGACTCAATACCAAAATCAATAAATATTTCAAAAACTAACATTCTAAATTGAAAACACCCAATGAACCTTCTCAAAATTCTGAATTTGTATATGAAATACGTTACAAGAACTAATGAGGTATATATTGGTCAGACTTCAAGATTTTTGAAAGGCAGATTCACACGTTAGGAATCGCACGTTAAAAGGTAAGACCTCGTTAGTCCTTAGCTCGCACAAGTTTCTTAACTTCTGAGAGTTGTCGTTCGTATGGGAGCGGCAGCTGATTAACGGAAAAACAGATTTTAAACAGATTTTTTTTTTTTAAACATCGCATAAAAGTGATTGTAAACAAATATTCTATCTTGCACCCCATCAGAACATGTCAATACATGGATTATAAAAATAGCATTATTATAGAAATTGAAAAAAAAATTACATATGGTTCATATAAAAAGAAACACAAATTCAATGAATAAGAAATTTACAAAATTTCGGTCATGTCGGTACATTATAGATTCAAATTGAAAAATGATACAATGAGAAAACGGTAGCGATGCTGAATCACCCACACTATTACAAATACAATTGATTATATTTCTTATTTATATCATCTTTTTAGTTGTCCTGAGGAAGGAATTGAAAAAATCCGAAAGATTGACAAAATATCAGAATTTCAACAAACTGTTGACTGCTACCTTCATATAGTCAGACATTGTACCTTCATTATTATTATGGAGATAGTTTTAGTTTTCAGTCCATATGTCGTTATGGCCATAATATTTTGCTATAACGTGTTCCTTATGGCCAAATATTATAGTTGAATTATTTTTTTGACACATCCAAAAATATCACATCTTTTCCATAAAAACTTTTTATCGTATAAATTTTACAAACGATATTTCGGCCTGAGAAACTGAATTGATTTTTTTCGTGCTTTGAATCCCAAAGATTTAGTACCTTTTTTTGGCTTCTAGGTGCCACCGTCTATAATTAAATTTTGAAAACAATATATTAGTCTAATCAACAAGTTCAAAAACATGAAAAATAGAGATAAAGATCCTAAAAATATGAGCGATAGCTCATTCGATTCGTAATCACCTCTAAAAAAATTTGTTTGAAGGATTTTGGTGCAGGTAAAAAATTGCAATTATTATTAACAAAATAAGATTAAAAAAAATGGTATTTAGTTTTTCGTTAATAACTCAAAAAATATGAACATTTAAGCAATTTTGAAAAAAGCTCGTTGAAGAGAAGGAAATTTCCGATAAAAAAGTCTCGACTCCCGAAACTCAATCTCCATTATTTATAATTTTAATTTGACGTTGAAAATATCTTCTTAATATCTGAATGAATCGAGTCCCGTAGAAAAAAAGTTTTATCACCATTTTTCAAAAAGTTATTCAAAGTAACAATTTTTTTGTCAATCTCCGTTGGCATAAAGAATTTCTCTATTTGTGTTTAAATCAATTTAATAAACAAATTACGTAAAAAATTCATATCCTATTTAGAAAATTGAACAAATTCATATTCGAAGTGAAGGACGATGTCTTTGTACTTTTTTAATGACAAAAATGTTTCATCCTCTCGAGGATTTTATTTGTCTATCTACAAATATGCTCGCTGGCACATGATATTATAATCACTGACTCCAATTATATTTACTTCACTAGGAATCTTTATTATTGAAGCTAATAAAACATCAGTGTGGATGATTTTCATTATTACACCATTTCTAACGAGGTCTAACCTTTTAACGTATGATTCCTAACAGGGGTTGGACGATACGAAGTGAAAATCGATCGTCCGGCCTTGCGGTTGGTTCGAAGCACCGGTTTACACAGCGGTCGATTGAGTGAGTCGAGCAACCCACCCACGTCAACCTACCAGTCTACTGTCCTACCTACTTATTCTATTCAAAATCAAGTTTTTTGAGACCTTACCTGTGGCAATGAGGTACAATGGAATATTATCTTGGACGGGACATTTATTCACTGCCAGGATGCCGACGATGAACATTGCCAGATTGATTACGAGGGAAATCAAAAGAGTAATCTTGACTCCAGCTGAAAAAAAAAAGTTGATTATGTTCGATGAAAGTCATTTCACATACATCTTTTTACGAAACATGGAAATAAAAACACGGAAGAAATTAAAATACGAGGGGCATTTGAGAAATTGAATTATGAATGGAAGTAGTCAGATATTTTAAAGAAGAATGGAGATCGCGTAGTGGAAATCTCCTATTTTTCAAAAGTCGATATACATGGTTCTCTACCAGATAAACTTGATACAGACTCTACGATTATCTTGATAAAGTTTTTAGTTGATACGATATTTCGCAAAAACAAATGCCTGAATGCAAACGAAAATCTACATGCTCATAGTATAGATTCCAGAGACGGTTTGAATTCAGCACTTTTCATAATTTTTCGTATCCAATTCATTATTTGGATGATTTGTTTTGTATCCTTCAATCAAAGTGTTTATCGTGCGAGGTAACGGGTGATTTTTAAGAGGTATACAAAGCAACACAAAAAATTTGAATAAATTGATGAAATATTTATTGGAATTGATAGAACGATCAATATAATTTGATGTTTGAAGATGATTTCATGCAAATGTTGTCCGCGGCTCCGCTTCAGATGGCCCATCCGCAAGGTCCAATTTTGGCACACTTTAACATATTGATCGGTATTTCACGTATAAATGCTTCAATATTGGCTTTCAGAGCGTCAGTCGTTGCTGGTTTATCCCTGTAGACATGAGCCTTAACATGACCCTACAAAAAATAATCCAAAGGCGTCAAATCACACGATTTGACAATTTGGGCCAATTGACGGGCCCCAAACGTGAGATAAACTGTTCACCGAAGGCGGCTCTTTATTGGGCCATTGTTTCGCGTGCTGTGTGATATGTGGCACCGTCTTGTTGAAACCACATGTCAGGTATGCCCAATTCTTCCATTTTGGGCAGCAAAAAGTAGTCAATCATCATACGGTAGCGCTCGCCATTCGCAGTAACGTTCCGGCCATTGTCGTCTTTGAAGAAGTACGGCCCGATGATGCCACCGATCCATAATCCACACCAAACAGTGACTGTTTTGGGATGCATCGGTAGCTCTTGCAATGCTTGTGGCTGGTCTTCACTCCAGATGCGGCAATTTTGCTTGTTAACGTATTCATTCAACCAGAAATGAGCCTCGTCGCTCGATAAAAATGTGGATCTTCCTCCAACTGTGCCAGCGCCCATTCACCAAATGTTAGACGTTGTGGAAGGTCGTGTGGCTTCAATTCTTGCACCAGCTGTATCTTATAAGGTTTGACACCCAAATCATTTCGCAGAAGTTTCCACGTAGTGGAGAAACAGAGGCCCAATTGCGGCGAATCGACATTTCACGGTCATCACGAACACTGGTGGATACAGCCGCAATATTTTCTCCGATCCTCACTCTACGTATGCGTGTTGGTGGTTTGATAATCCACCGATAATGTAAACTGGGTTCGAAATTTAGTCACAAGCTTCCGAATAACTTCCTCAGTAGGCCGACGAAACTGCCGATAAATTGGAAGAAGTGCACGATGCACTTTCTTCACTGAGCATGAATTTTGATAATAAAATTTAATAAACTGCAAGCGTTGTTCATTCATAAGTCGATAATGGTTGAATTATGGACCAAACTGAACAAGTTTGACAATGACACAAGACACGATTCACGCGTGATCTGTCAAAAACATAGTTGCCAAAAAGATACCAGCAAAAAATCACTCATTAGAATTGTAACATCTGGCGTACACTAGAAGTACTGTCTCTAAAACTTAATCCGTTTGCTCAATGCCAGAACCATTAACTTTAACGCTCAACTTGTTACAACTCTTCTGTCCGTTAGGACAACATTTTATTTCTAAGCAGGTGAAACTGAAATTATACACTTCTCGTATAGATTATATGTATTACTTATTGGGTCAAACTGCACACTTTTCATCATTGAAGGATGTGAGTTTCGTATCATTTCTGAATCAACAGCAGCCTTAGGACAGACCCCCAAAGTACTCCTAAGTTCCCCTCTTGAATTACTGAAATACTTGTGCTTTTCACTGAAACATATAGATCCAGAAGTTAAGGATATAATTCATGATTGAATAAGTGTATGTATCCATGAATATACTTTTTTAGATTAGATGTTTTCTGATACCTCGCGATCAAGGGACATTTTCACCGAAACTACAGACTTCTTTTGATGACTATGTACATTTGTGCTATTTTCTGCAACCAAATAATGACCATATTTGCACATGTCCACACATATTGTATCAGATCCATAATAGGGTGCATATGACCCATTTCTGTTAGGGGACCAGATGAAAATATTGACTTGGCTGTTGATGATAAAGATGCGAATATATTCAATATATGTATTATATAACTTGAGGTTGAAGAATACCATATGGAGCTCCGAGCCCGGTCACCTATTTTCTCTTATGTAGTTTGGCCCACTTGGTAGAGTCAATTGACTAATCATGACCATCTGTTTTGAACAGTAAAGGACATGTTCGCCCAACCTGGTTGTGCCTATTTTACTCAATCCAGGTCAGACAACTGACAATGAAAATGTAACAGAAACGATTCTCATTAGATGTTTGGAACATCGCCAAATTACAACAACAGATAGGAACATAACTTCTGTCTGTCTTTTAAAAAACATCTGCTAAGATGATCTCTCCTTCACACAACAATGATTTCTTTTTTTCTTCACCTTGAATCTATGAATTATTGGGTCGAGGATTTGGGTTGAATTCAAAATTTCGTTATGTTCTAGTTCTATCATTAATTTGTGACTCTTTTGTCAAAATGGAACAAAAATGGAAATCGGTAATAGAATGTGGTGGCAATTTCCAACTAGATCGCTTTGATCATGAGTTTCGGTTATTATCACAATTTTATAATTGCGGATATGACTGTCTTCATTTTGAGGATTATCTATTACTTTTGAATAGTTGAGAAAACTATACGGAAGAAACATATTTGAAGAAAATCTAAGTTTCAAAAATCAAAATCGAAAATGAGATTAAAAAAAACAAATGAGAATATCAGCAAGATCACTTCAAACTCAATGTTTTGAATTCGCGAAGAAAATTCAAAACATTGATGTTCGCGTATCCAATCAGGTGGATGGCTCTTTTCTGGATGGAATCCAGCAACATCAGGGTAGAGTTCCAAATATGAGAACAATACTCCAAACAAGGTCTGATCTGACCTTTATAAAGCATCAAAAGTTGCTGATCTGTGTTTTTCTGGTTCGGAACAGTGTTCCAGGCTTTTGAGAAGCAGCCTTCATAATTTCATCGACATGATTGTGCCAAACCATATTGGTGTCCATTTTAACCCCCAACTGTGGTTCGGAACATAAAAAACCTTTGTCAAAGTTAACAGGTTTGAGAAAAATAACCCCAAAGTTTGAGGCAGTTTTAATAGCCATGGAAGAGTAGAAAAGGATTATGACATTGGTTTTTATACAGAAGTATATAGTTGATCACAGTCAAACTATCCAGGAAAAGCACGAAAAAGAAATTGAACTGACATTGCATGTTCTTGTTCTGAGTCACTGTCTGACTTGTCCCTTCAGTCCAAGTCTCCAGAAAACACTCAGCCTCTTGGTCTTATTGCGTTTATTCTCCCATCTTCTCATGACACCCATTCCATTAGTCTCGTTCCCTGTACTAGTTTGTACAGGTTCCGTGTCGGATGTTCGTCATATTCTTCTGGACGTAATTTCTTACGTCTATATATTGCCCGCCTCCTGTGATTCAGTGCCTCACACTCGCATAAGATGTGTAGAGCTGTTTCTATCACTTTGTTCCGATCCCTACTATATTGAAATAGTTCTTCGCTTCTTTTCTCGGACGGTTCCCTAATGAAGGTTCTACTGTATTTGTTGCCAGGTAATTTTGTCCAGTACTATGTGTGCTTCTTATTGGTCCATGTCCTAATCTGGTGTCTTACCAATGATTTTGGTACCCCCAGAGCTGGTTCAGGACCTATATATAGGTTGATGATCCGCGTCTAGCGCTCCAGTGCGCTCTTGTTGTTTGTGAAAATATTGATCCGCTCATTTCCTCTCAATTTAATAAGCCTTGCACACGGCAAGATAGTATACACTTCCGCCTGAAAGACGGATGGGTATAGTCCTAGCGGATAGCTGTAGTTTAGATTTCTGGAACAATATAGTTACTTTTCAATGGTATTTTTGAAATCTCAGCGATTCCCTCGTAATACTTGGACAACTTATTTGAATAATTTCACTACGCCTATGAGGTAAAACTGTTTTACTAGCCGCGAATTGAATAATTTTTGACCCCACGTAATCCAGTTCGGCTCTGTAGAAGGAAACCCACTCATATACGTATTGAATAGCAAATGCAAGAAGTTATGATTAATTTGATAAATTGAGTATGACAGCACAGTCTAAACTTGTTATGCATTCCAAAGTCGTATGTTTCAGAGGTACAGAATGTCGGACTATTTTCTAGTTTCACATCCTGCAAGTTCATAATTTCAAAGCTAGTCAGTTCGTCTACTTCGGTGATTGTAATTATGTCTTGAAGGTAGTAACCAAAATGTAATTTCTGTTACCCAACAGAAGTGTAATAACACAGCCTATTTCGAAGTAGATTTTTTTAATCTCCAGTGATTTTTATGGGCGAAATTGGAAAATCAAACGAAAAACCACACGTCAAATTAAAAAAAACAGTATTTCTCATAAAAATACGGAAGCATAGAAGGGCCAAAGATTATTTGTTTACTTGATCTAACATTATTTCGACTTAAAAGTCGAAATTCCGATTTTTATCTCGTAATTTCGACTTTAATCTCGTAATTTCGACTTTTATCCCGTAATTTAGACTTTTATCTCGTATTTTCGACTTTAATCTCGTAATTTAGACTTTTATCTCGTAATTTAGACTTTTATCTTGTGATTTCGACTTTTATCTCGTAATTTCGACTTTTTTTTTCGCAATTTCGACTTTTTCCTCGTAATTTCGGCTTTTATCACGCAATTTTGACTTTTTTCTCGTAATTTCGACTTTTTTCT